GGTAATTTTCAAAGAAGAGTCACAAGGCTAGTATCATAAGCATCTTTCTGAAACTTGTAAGAAGGGCAAATATGCAGACTCCAAGCCTCATCCTGGGAGGAGGCTCAGCAGTCTGCTTTAACAAGCCCTCAAAGGGAGCCTAATGCATACTAAAGTTTAAATACCACAAAGATAGCAACCACCAGAAGCAGCCACCACTCCTAGGACTGGGGCAGCAAAGAAAAGACAAAATTTACTAAAACTGAGAAGACTGAGGAAAGGCCCCAGAGTACTGAAACTCAGACTTCTGAGAACAGCTCAGGTTCATCAATACCAGAGTCTTTTGAATTTAGGGGCAGCGCCCCACAGACTAGGAAACCAGATAACGGAGGAGGAGGCACCCATGGTTATAGTGGGAATCTAAAGGCTGCATAGAGACAGGTTCTGTAGATGCTCAGAATCTCCTGAATGGCCACTAGCTGTCACTGCTAGAAGTAACTGCCATACCAAAGCAAGGAACTACTGATCAAGAATTGAGAAACCCACCCAAACTCAAAAAGACCAAAACACCTTTTTCCTTCTTCACCTGAGCAGTGTCTGTCTGTTCCCTTTACTGGCAAGGAGCCAGAAGCATTTGCAAAACTCCAAAATGTGGGGATATTTTTCATTACCATAATAAAATACCTGAGACATGCTCACTTTATAAAGAAAACAGTTTTTTGAGATCACAGTTTCAGATGATGAAGTCCAGGTGGCCTGGTAAGGGCTACCCTTGGGCTACCTCCTCAAGGTGGATCACATGGCAGGATCTTGTGCTGGAGGAAGAGATGATGCAAGGAGGCAGGAAGCGAGGGAAGCTAGGTGGGGTGGGGCACAGGCTTTCATAACAGTCCTCTTTCAAGAATTACCGAGGGGGACCAACAAGATAGCTCATCAGACTAAGCACCTGCTTAGGCAAGTGCAGGGGCCAGGATTAAATCCCCAGCACCACCGTGCCAGGCATGCTTGAGCCAGCCACTGAGACTGGGCAATGTGGCACAAGCCTGTAATCCTAGTGCTGAGGAGGCTGAAAACTGGAGGAGGATCACTATGAGTCTGAGCTGCATAGTGAGACCCTGTACCGAGTACATTAAAAAAAAAAAAAAAAAAAACTACTCAGGGTACCCCAGGAAACACCATAGTCCCTTGAGGGTGCACCCACAGGTACCTCCCAACACTGAAAATCAAGCTCCTGAAGGACAAACACAGAATTCAAGCCCCAGAACTGGATTTGAGGCTAAGAGAGAATAGCTTAATAATTGGCACAGTGGCTGCATATGATTAAGAGATAGCAGATAGTAAGCATTTTTTATATTATAATTGAGTATTCGTGGACATTTTCTGGGGCACTGACGCCTAGATAAGATTTTTCCTCTTACTATACAAATTCTTTTAAAGCTATTTGTTTGGAGGGTCGGCCAAATAGCTCAGTGCATTAAAGCACCTGCAAGCAGGCACAGGGACTAGCGGTTCAATCCCCTGGCCTGCTGGGCCAGCCCTGCTCCCAGGGCACGATGAGAGTGCAGTTGAGCCCGGGCGTGGTGGTACACACCTATAATCCCAGCTATTGGGAGGCTGTAAACAGGCAGATCACTAGAAGTCTGATCTAGTAGTGAGACCCTAAACACCCTGTACACCCTTACCTAAAAAAAAAAAAAAAAAAAAAAAAAAAAAAAAAAAAAAAAACCTCTTTGCTCCCATTAGTTTAATAAGATACATTTGGGCCTTGGATACCATTGGACAGGAAGCTGTGCAGGGCCCACCTTGAAGTCTACATCATTGAGGCTCACACTGACAGATCACAGCAGTCATAGCTGAGGATGGTTCAGTAGTAACAAGACATGCTTCAGCAAGCCAAGGCCCTATTTAGTCAAGTCTCTGAATTGGAGGAATGGACTACAAAGAAGTTACCTGGATAGAAATCTGGAGCTCTGCCTCAAAACAGGGGAGGGGCAGAAAAAGTTATACTGAAAGCAGGATAACTGACAAGAGAAACACAAACATGAGCCTCCACTTAGGCACACATCTTTGCGAAATTCCAGGAAACTAGAAAATGAATATAGGGGTGGGATACAACTCATTGGCGTAAGCACCTGTCACGCAAGTGCAAGATCCTGAGTTCAATCTCCAGTACTGGAAAAAAAGAAAAATAAAAGAATATAAGAGTTAGCTGTTTTCTTCATTTGTAAATCAGTGTTCAGCAGTGAAGGGATCAGTCAATATTGATTCTAAAGCAGTCAAACAAATTAGTGCTTTCCTCATCCTTGTAGGATGAGTACAGGCAGTTCTCTTATCTGTCAATCAGAAGGAACATTCCCTAGGCATTAAGTTAACAAGTGCTTATTAAATGATTATGAGAGGGGCTGGGGAGATGGCTCAGTAGAATAAGTGCTTGCCTGGCAAGCACAGGGCCTGAGTTCAATCCCCGGTTCCGCAAAAGAAAAAGATTTAGCTATTTGTCATGCCATGCCAGTTGCTGCTGTGCTGTCTCTAGGGTAGATGCTTGTTCAAAAAGAAGGGGGTGGTGAATGAAGGCAAGAGACAGGAAAAAGAATGTTGTGGGACTGTCCTGCTTCAAGGTTGTATATGGTTAGATTTTTGGACTTACATGCAAACATAAGAATTGTATAATTCTTTATGCCTATTTTTTTAAATATATTCTAATTTTTAAATGTTTTTTCATCATATGGTATAGGGACTTAAAGTTCAACATATCAATACTTGATGAAAGATACCTGTTCCATGTTGTGCCTAAGATGTTTGATATTCAGACAGATAGTGAGGTTAAGCTTAACAGCCTAGATTGTATGGTAATAACAATAAGCTTGTCTTCTGGAGGGTTAACAACCTAAGTTTGCAGACCAAAATTAGAGAAAAAGGAGGGCCGCAAGGAAAGCCAACGTTTTGGCCCTAGCCTTCCAAGGTCAATTAAGACTCAGAACATTTGAGAACTTGTACTGTAACGTCATGTAACTCAGTAGTGTCCAAAATTTTCTGATCAAGGAGATTATGGGGGCAAAGAGGAAAGTTATGGATGATGTAGAGTGTGCCTAAGGAGTGTCACATGGAGAGAAAACATTCTCTCAGGCTTTCACAGAGAGCACACTGGCCAAGCAATGGCCCTGACTCATCCACATGGCTGACACTGACAAAGGTTCTACATCTGAGGTACAGGATCTCAGGATAAAATCCTGAGGGGATTTCACTGACCTTATCAGGCCCAAAAGCTACAACTCTTGTTGCATAGGTCCTGCTTTACCTTGGTCTTAACCCTCCAGCAGAAAAGTATAAAAACGAAGTATAAGAAGTAAAGCCAGGGCCAGGGAGATAGCTCAGTAGAATAAGCACTTGCCTGGCAAGTGCAAGGTCCTGAGTTCAATCCCCAGTACCGCAAAAAAAAGAAGTAAAGCCATGCTGTTATGTTGAGCTGTAGGGGACTCAGGTCAACAATTTCTGACATTGCCAGTCAAATGGAAGACCCAATACTATTATGGGCTACTGGACTCTTTTAGAATATTATGTTGAGTTTACACACCTATAATATTCAAATAACAGAACTTAACAAAAAAAGGATACAGATGAATGTCCATTTTGTATCTGTATATTCAAAATGGTTGGGATAGATATATAGTTACATTCTCTTAATCAATAGAGGGATTTGTTCTAATAGTGTTTGTAAATAGGATATCATGTCCACATCTTGTACAGCAATTAACCACTAGGAAGAATGTATGCAATGTGTTAATTATTGAAACTGTCCTACCAATTTGGTTTGAAATGGTCTCATTGCTATTTTTTTCTCAATAAAATTATGGAAAAAAATAATAAGAAATAGTAAGAAATAGAAATGGTACAGAATTTCACTAAACAAGGTGATAGAAATTTAACAATGGCTGCTATGTTATATATTGTTGTCTTTGAAATAGTTATTCAGATGACCAGATATAAGCACGTAAATTAGTCAAAAAAATAAAAAGAAGAAAAAACAAAACAAAAAAGGGGGGAGGAAAAACATTATATATATATATATGTATATGCAAGAGAGTTAGGATAGATAAACAGCTCCTTTCTCTTAATTCACTGAGAATAAAAATTTGTACTAATATCGTGTAGACAAGATATGTCTGCATCTTATCCTCTAAATAACTATGAGAACAATATGCGATGTATTAATTATTGTAAATGTCCTACCAACCTGTTTTGAAACTGTTTCATGGTTATTTTATCTTTTTTCTCATTAAAATGAATAAAAATTATTTTAAAAAATACAAAAAATAAAATAAATGGTTATGAGGCTAGCCAAATAGCTCTGCAGATTAAAGCACCTACAAGCAGGCGCAGGGTGCGGGGTTCAATCCCCTGGCCTGCCCCACCAGCCCCACCTCCGGGGCTCACTGAGATAGCAGTTGAAACTGGGTGTGGTGGCACGTACCTGTAATCCCAGGTCTTGGGACGCTGTAAACGGGCAGATCACTGCAAGTCCGATCTAGTAGTGAGACCCTGTACACCCTGTAGACCCTTCCCTAAAATAAAATAAATAAATAAATAAATAAATAAATAAATAAGAGATTGGGCCAGCAAAATAGCTCAGTGGACTAAGCCTCTGCATCAGCAAGTGCAGGGGTCAGGGTTCCATCCCTGGCACCACACATCACGCTGGTCCTGCCCCCCAGGCACACTGAGCCAGTGATGGAGACTAGGCATGGTGGTGCATGCCTGTAATCCCAGCACTAGGGAGGCTGAAAACAAGATCACTACGAGTCTGAGCTGCACAGTGAGACAGTGTGCACACACACACACACACACACACACACACACACACACAGAGGTAAAAAAATAAGAAATACATAAATATTATAAGAAGTAGTCCCAGTATTTTTGAAGATAGGGAAGAACTAACAGGTGATAGCTGTTAGTTTTAAAGACCCTTACATAATTGCATTTTATGTTAATGTTTTGTTTTGTCTTTTTTCTCTTTGAAGGATTCTGAAGACTCACAAAACCATACTGCTGAGCCTGTTGCAGATGATTACAAAAAGATGGGAACACTTTTTGGTGAACTGAACAAAAGCCTCCTCGACATGGGATTCACAAGGATGTATTTTGGGGAGCGGATTGTGGAGCCAGTAGTTGTCATTTTCTTTTGGCTTATGCTGTGGTTCCTTGGCCTACAGGCCCTTGGACTAGTTGCTGTCCTTTGCCTTGTCATTATTTATGTGCAGCAGTAAAGCATGATCAACTGAATTGCTGGACGTTTGGTAGCCGTGTATGTAATAGATGAAGTTACATGTTTTGGCATTTTGGAAGCCAAAATAGTTTGACCTGTTTCTGATTGTGTGATGGCTGTTTTGTAATTACATTTCTAAGTGATTGTTGTTTAAAACTAAACTAAACTCTTGGTTATGACAAACTTGGACATACATTTTGAATATACATTTGCCTATTTAAAATTCTTATTTCACTCCTGTGATCTGTACCCACTTTTAGACATCTCTCACTCTGCTTCATCTTAATTAACACTACCAGACAGCAGGGAAAATAGTACATGAAGTTCAAGTCAAGAAATACAGTTTTTATTGAGTTCCAATAAAACACTTTTTAAAAAAAAAACAAAGGAAGTGAGCTCAAAAGTTTTCATTGGAAAGCTGCAGCACCCCCAACTTCATCAAATAATCCTGTGTTACTGGAGAAATATTTGTATTGCTATTGTCCCTGCTCGAGATTAAATGATGGTTATCATACACTACCTTAATTAGTGGTGAAAATGAACAAAGCTATCACATTTTCTAAATATTGAAAAGAATATGTTTATTATTACTAGGGAAAGTTTCAGATTAAATACTTTTTCTTAATAACATAGTATCTGGCCTTCGAGTTTCTTCAGTATATCATTTGATGTTTTCAATCATTTTGGTGCTAATTACTTTCTGTGAGTTTGTTAAGTCTCGGAAGCTACGTCCATGGCTGGCTGCACCGTGTTAATACATAGTTTGTTGTATCCAACAGGTTGCACATTTTTCCTAGAGAGACATTTTCAGTGTATTTTTTTCAAAAACTAATCTTTTATAATTTTTATAACAATTGTTCTAAGATTTATAACAACATATTTACTTTCTTAACGTGACTTTTTCTCTCCCAAAAAAAATTGATCTATAATTTACAGCTATTTTAAGAAAAACTTCAGATTATTTTTCTTTGATATCTGTATTGGAAAGTACAGTAGCATAGTATAAAATCAGATCCTTAAATTTGAACCTGCACAGCCAATGATGATATTCTTCCAAAACTAAAGCTGAATAAGTACTTGGCTAGCCTATTATAAATGTGTGTTAATTCAGCAGTGTAAGATTTTATATTGAATAACAAGCATTTCTTTACACTTTAAAAATAGAACATGACTTTAGTGATATTTTTGGTTTGCCTAGAGAACCTAAAATCTTTACACGTCCAAGAACAAAAGAGTGGTAGTTAAGATAATTATCTAGAAATCTAAGGAAAATAGGCAGTGGGCATTTTTATTTTTGATATGGCAATAGCTAAATCCTATAAAAGTGTTTGCTATTCTACTTTTTAAGGTTTCTATCCAATCCCGTTTTTAAATGTATTCTGTGAGTTCTCGGTGTCTTCCATTCTGAAGAAGAAAATGATAAAAAAGAAATCATTTAACTTGGATTTCTAAAATCAGATAACCCTAAACACAAACACCAGTCAGGGGAAGTAAAATGCATTTTACATTTGTAGAGATACAGACCTTTTAAAATTTGACTTCTAAAAAACAAGACTTTGTACTATATCATTGTATTTTTATTAGGTTTACAATATTTTTATAAACTTTATGAGCTTAGTGTAAGTGCAGGTTTGGAAAAGTGTTTTCATTTGTACAGTAGAATTGCAAGGTTTTAAATAGAAGTTGTGAGATTTTTTAATATCTGCGTAAAAATATTAATGAGTATGTTCTTTTTTAATGCTACCTGGAATTTTAATTTCTCTTAGGAATGAAAAAAAAGATATAGTAGACAAAATAGCTCTGGTTCAACCAGTGCCTATGGTTAAAAATATTTCACAAGTGAATTCTAATATTATTATTTAGTATGCTGTCAATACTGTGCATCTGCACACTGGTGTTAATAGGGTATTATTAAATTATAAAGAAACAATGTGTTGCTGCTCTCCTTTGTACATATGTTTTGGGTTCATGTAATATACCATCAAAGTTTTGGTCTAATATAAAAGATTTTGTTTATTGGAGGAAGATAAAATATTTTCTTTAAAGAAATATATAGATTGTATTGTACTTAGGTCTTGAAATGAAACTTAATTTCTTTGGTTCATGGTGTAAGAAGTTAGAATGAAAATTATTCTCAGCTATTTCAATCTCACATATAAGCAAATTCAAGAAACTGTTAAACTGCTTATGCACAAGCAAATAGAAGGTACAATGCTAAGGTCATTAGATTATTAATGTATACATCACCCATAGAGTGCCCTCAGTTGAAAGGGAAAATGTCAGATCTACAAATAAGCTAGTCATGAAAAAATCACTTTCATTAAAGTAATACCTCAGCATTTTGCAGAGTGTGATACCCTCAGGTTTTGGCTTCTATGTTCCAAGTATTTTCCCATACTGGTGACCAGTCAGGCCATGCTGAGTCCCTCTCTGGCACAGAGCCAGCTTGTATTAGCTTGCGAGGGCCATCTGTACATTTTTCCATCCTCAGTGACATCAAGTTAATAGCTTAAATTGGCAATGGTGGGAGTATTTACAACACAACCAACTGGCAAACCTTCCAGGTCAGGCTGTTTTTTCCTGCACAGCTAGTTGTTGAAGACACATTACTGCTTAGCCCCCAGGAAACCACAGACCCATCTTTACTCCTGTGGATAAGAAAAGAAAAGAAAAAGAGATATCTTAAGCAAGTAAGTAAATCCCTACTGACCCACCCCAAATGACCTGGATCTTTCCCACATGGAGGTTAATGGACCATGCTTGCCGTCTGAGGCATCTCTATTTAACCATGTTTAGTCAGAGAAGACTCCAGGGTCATCACTGAACCATAGTACATAAAAGAGCATTGGTGGGCCAACAACACAGACACTGACACAAAAGAAGTAGACTACAGAGGACAGTGTAAGTGAAGGCTTGCTGTAATAAGCTTGCATAGGCAATGTCAGGCATTGGGCAATCAAGAGCTGTTTGTAGATTAAATTTTAAGTCATTTTAAAAATGTTTATTGATTTCAAGTTATTTACAGTACTCTCTATACCAGTGCATGGCTTCACAAGGTTAAGGAAGAACCAAACAAATCAAGTAAGACTTTCATATCTGTTAGTACCTTTAGTGCTAACTTCCAAGAATGTAACACAATATACAAATTCATCTTCAAGATTAGTAGCAGGGGGCTGTGGAGATAGCTCAGTGGTCTAAGCAACTGCATAGGCAAGCACAAGGACCTGGGATTGATCCCTGGTACCATATGCCACTCTGGCCCCACCCTGGGTGCGCCAAGCTGGCCACCAAAGACCAGGTGAGGTGGTGTATAACCTAGAACCTTTTTAACTCCTTATTTCTCTGCCCAACACTTAATATTTGGTGCTTCCTGGGATTCAGTCCAACACACCTAGTCTGCCTCTCTGTTTCAAAGCATTATATAGACTAAGATCTCTCTATTCAGTTGCTCACCCAACGTTTGTACTTGGTTATCCTATGATACTTTGAATTCAGCATGTCCAAAACAAGAGCAAAGCATCCTTCAGCCAAGTCATTTTCTATGTTGCCCTTCTCAGCTAATGACACAATTCTGTCCACAATTGCTCAAGAAGGAATTTAACTCCTGTCTCCAACATGATCACATATAAACAAATGCAGTACCAAGTCCTATTTTATTTCTAAAAATGTCTGATATCTTTCTGCTTCTCTTCACTCCCAACATCACTGAGTCCTTACCATAATCATCTCACCTGGAATCTATCACAGAATTCTAAATGATCTCCCTGCATTTATTTTCTACTGTATAATTATAGTAATCTTTCTAAAACATGACTCTGATTATAACTATTTTTAATAGTCTTTTTGTGCCACTTTGATAAAGCCCTGGCTCCATAACAGTTTTTTACAAGGTTAGTCAATAACTAGTTCTTTTCATACCTAATCTTTTTATATTACTACCCCTTTCCAAGAGCCAGCTCTACTGAAAAGAATTTTAGTTCTTTGTAATAAGTATGCTTTTCTACTCTGAGAACATTGTACATGTTATGCTTTCTTTAACCCCTCCCTATCAGACTAACCAACAACCCCACAGCCTTAAATCTGGACATCCAGTTTTGGTATTTCATTATGTACTTGGTTGTCCATGATGTGGAATCCTGTGCTTTCCCTATTAGCATGTCACATGCTATACTGAAATGGTTCATTTGTCAGCTCCTGTATTAGACAGTGGACTTCAGAAGAGCAGGAACATGTCAATCATGTCCATAATTGCATTCCTAGTGCCAGGCACAACACCTGATACATAATAGGTGCTCTAAACAGTTGTCAGATGAGTAAATCAACTTCGTTTATTTGTGTTCTCTCTATGGTCCATTAACAAAGAAGATCTAGACTTGGTTGTACTTTTGAACTCTTAGATTCCAAAAATATTGTGCATAAAGAAAGTGATTTGAAGTATACATTACCATGTGTAAGGTTTATTCACTTTTAATGGAAGAAATTTGCTGCTTGCATGTATATATCACATTGCCACTATACACTTGCAATTTTAGGAGAAAATGTGTTTTCTGTGTCATGCTTGGTTGATTCACTATTGCTCCAAAAAGGATATTTTACAGTATATTTGGTCACTGATGCTACTAAAATTTCATATTTTGCAGTAGACTTTTTAACTCAATTTTAATTTTGTAAAAATCTTGGATGCAGGAATTCTTATATTTCTAAGGTATTTTAAGCTGCAGAATAAATTCACTGTCCAATAACCCACATTTTACATGTTACGTACCATGTATATGAAGTTCTTTGTTATTCTTTCTAATAAATATGCTCTTACATCTCTGGGTGTCTCTCTGACTCCTGGTAGTATATTCTACTAGTTAGTTCAGAGTTGCCACATTGTTTGGAAATTTCCAAAGCAACAAAATACCTGAGGGTCCATGTTTGTCTGCTTTTCTCATCCTCACTGCTAGAATTGAAAGCCAAGGCCTAATGTGTGTATCTGCCCCCGGGGCAAAAGAGAAGAAAGAAAGAACCTTTGCCTCCAAGCTGTATTTTTTTTCTTTCTGGCATCTTTTTTTTTTTTTTTTTTTTTTGGTAATGTATTTTAGGGAAGGGTCTACAGGGTTTACAGGGTCTCACTACTAGGTCAGACTCCTAGTGATCCGCCTGTTTGCAGCCTCCCAAGAGCTGAGATTACAGGTGTGTACCACCACGCCCAGTCTCAATTGCTGTCTCAGTGAGCCCCTGGGACAGGGCCAGCATAGCAAGCCTGGGGATCAGGCCCCTGGCCCCTTTTTTCTGGTGTCTTAATACCTAATTTAGAATTGTTGAATGAACTCTGAAGAGGCTTGCCAAAATCCAGAAGTAGTCATTCAGATGCCTACTAAATTTCAGTTATGTTTTCAACAATTGAAGTCTTCTCATTTAACCTTTCATCAACTTAGTTGGTATTCTTTGCCAGTTTTCCAAAACACCATAAAACAAAGTTAACTTTTGTGTGTGTGTGTGTGTGTGTGTGTGTGTGTGTGTGTGTGTGTGTTATCAGAGATCAAACTCAGGACTCTGCACTTGCCAGGCAGGCACTTAGATCACTGAGCTGTCTCTCCAGCCCAAAATAAGTAAACTTTTATCATAAGACTATGTTTTTATTTGATATACTTCATTTGGTATATTTTTGTGGAAGTTTTCTAGTGGAAGAAAAGTCTATCATTTACTTATTAATCCCATAGTTGACTTCTAACAAAATCTTTAAGTGACTTTTTTTTTTTTTTCCCCTGGGAGAAGAAAGCTGTGTTTGAGGCAGTGGTCCATCTACCAAATGGCTTTTTTCTGGTTTGTTATGATTGCTTCTGTTAGTATGTTTTCCTGGTTTTAGGTGTGCAATATTAAAAACAGCCATTTTTTTATTTAACATATATTCTGTTTTGTTTTGTTTTTTACTTTATTTTATACAGGGTCTTGCTATGCAGTTCAGATTCATAGTAATCCTTCTGTCTCAGACTCCCCAGCACTGGAATTACAGGCGTGCGCCACCACATCTGGTTTCTGGGCCAGCACACTGCATGCAGAAGGGCAGGGCATATGGTACTGGAGACCAAACTTGGGTCCTCATGCTTGCCAGGCAGGCACTTAGACTGCTGAGCTATCTCCCCAGCCCTGTATTCTGTTTTTAAATGTACAAGACTGTATGTTAGAACATCTCATCAAAAGTCGATGAAAAATTAAAAATGGAAAACATACTCATTGGATATTGGCCTTACATAAAACTATAATGACCACCTTATGTTTGACCAAGGGGCCGAATATATTCACTGGAAGCAAGATAGCTTCTTTAACAAATGGTGCTGGAAAAAATGTTTTCCCACATGCTGAACACTAAAACTAGATTCATGCCTATCACCATGCACTAAACTAAAGTCAAAATGTATTAAAGATCTAAATATTTAAAAAACACTAAATCTATTAGGAGAGAAAGTAGGTAGATTTCTTAAAGACATAGGGATAGGCAGAGAGTTCATAAACACCAAACTGCACAGGAAATACTTCAAAGAATCAACTAGGATCTCACTGAAAGATTTTGCACATCAAAAGAAATCACTAAGAGTTAAAAAAAAAAAAAACACAAAGTGGGAAAAAAAAATCTTAACCAACAGTCACTCAGACAAAGGACTTCTATTGAAAATACATAAAGAATTTTTAAAAATCAGGTCCCTAAAATTCAAAGACCCAATCCAAAAATGGGCCTCTGAGATGAATACACACTTTGCAGTAGACAAAACACAAATGGAAAATAAATATATGAAAAAACGTTCAATAGCACTGGTCGTTTGAGAAATGGAAATAAAAACAACACTGAGATTCCATCTCATCCCCCAAAAAATGGCTATCATAAAGAAATCAACTAGTAACAAATACTGGAGAGGTTGTAGAGAAAAAAGAACCTTTCTCCACTGTGGGTGGGAGAATAGACTGGTACAACCTCTGTGGAAATCAGGGTGGAGAATCCTCAAAAAACTAGGATTAGAGGTCCCATTCAGACTAGCCTGGGGACTGCAAAAGTGGAGCACCAGGCCAGCCTAAACTGCATAGTAAGGCCCTGTCTAAAAAAACAGTCCTATCAAACCCAGGTACTCCCCTTCTTGTTATTTTTCCAGAATTTAAATACTACAACAATATATGTGTACCCATGTTTATAGCAGCACAATTTGTCATAACTAAATCTTGGAAACAACACAAATGCCCATCAACTGGGGAATGGATAAAAAGCTGTGATTTTTTATTCAATGGAGTATTCACTCAGCTATAAAGAAAGATAAACTTGAGGCCTTTATAGGTGAATGGCGGCAACTAGAGGCTATATTCATAAGTGAACTAGATCAGACCCACATTTACAAACATCATATTGTCCCCCTAGTATTAGAGCCTGAAAGAGTAAATAAAATCTGAAAAGTACAATAGATATAGTAAAAAAGGAAGTGCTCAAAAGAAATGAAAAATTGGGATGCAGGAAAGGAGAAAAGAAAGAAAAAAGGGAAAAATTGTGTATATAAACAGGATAGCTAAGAGAATTTTTTTTTTTTCAAAACTGTGGATTGAACTCAGGCCCTTGCACATGCCAGGCAAGCACTTATTCTACTGAGCCATCTCCCCAGCCCCATAGCTAAGATGATTGTACTACTAATTTCTATCAATTTTATGAAGGGAGCAATTAATGCTTAAAATTTTTATTCTGACCTGTTTTACATGTTTTTATCTTATAATCTGAGCAAGTACCTTGAAGACAACAACATGCCATATAACAGCCATTGTTGAATATCTATCATTTTGAATTGGTTTTTTTTGAAATTGTGTATCATGTCTAATATCTATTATTTTTATTCTCTTTAAAACTACAACAATAATTTTTTGTATTAAGTGAAGCATTTATTTAACATGAAACCAGAGACTTTTAAATATTTGTTTAATTTCCTTTAAGTGAAAGCTTACATGAATATCCAACAAACAGATACTTCTCAACTTACAGCATGGTTGCACCCTGATAAATCCAACAGTCAAAAGCATACTTAATACACTTTCCCAACAGAACTTCATAGCTTAGCACCATGGTACCCTCTACAGTGTCTGATGCTCACCCACATGGTGGTGGACTGATACCTATGGCTGACTGCTGCTGCCCAGCATCTAGCCCAGAAAGATCAAACTTCAACTTTTGAGGCAGGCTTTCTACTACTGAAGACATGTCATTTATGCCACTGTAAAGTTGAGAAATTGTAAATGGAACCATGGAGGTCAGGACCATCTGTACCTAAAATGAGAAGAGGAAGCTCTGTAATTGAACTTACTCCAAGTCAAGCTCCCTGGAAAGCTGACCTAAGAAGGTAGTCTCAAGCATGCACTGGGCCTACGGTCTGTACTTTGGGCAGAAGCAAGGCTGGATAGAGAAGGTTAGCACAGAGCAACCTTGGAGGTGTTCTGAAACTATCACATGCTGGGACAAGCAACTCTGTTCTGCCAAAAGCAATTTTCAGAGAGGGCTGACAGCCAGAGGTTATCATCTAGCAGCTATCACAGTACATTTTCAGCCCCAAAGGGAGGATCTAGCAGCACAACTGCATCTCTTATGGTCCTTGCTCTTTTCCACCTCACCCTGCATAGGAGTGCAGGAAGGAAAGGATAGAGAGGCACAGACCTGAGATCATTACGGTCAGGGACCACCTCCCCATGAGGAGTGTCATCACTGTGTACTTCAAACATGGACCCACAAAAATAGTTTTTAAAATGAAAATGACTAAGCCACAAACTCATTGGTTAAGAAGGCCTTTGTTTTGTTGTTCCTGGCCCCTCTTCCAGGAAGCAGGTCTTCAGTTGTGGTAATACATTAGTTGACTGATGCTATTAGGAATAGGTAAACAAATGATTCTCCTATTTAAAAGGAATTGTTTAAAGGACTGGGAAATCTCTAAGACTTCAGGTACATATTGCCCAGACCAACACTGACGCTAACAAGCCTGTCAAACACGGCCTCACAAGACATCTGATCAAACTGTTATCCTCCTAGCACAGCATTGGAGCTGCACAGGCTCAAGCCTAGAAGAAGAAGATGTGTGTTTCTATGCTCCGCTGTGTGCTTCCAGACTCCTTTTGCAGGTCCCAGAGCAATTTGAATCCTCAAACTTCTGGAGCATGTTTGAGATAAGATTTTCAGTGGCAGAGCAGAAGTCACTTATAAAGAAATCATGTCCTGTGCCCCCCGCCCCAGCATGCGATTGCAACTGATATGTGACTTGGAAATTTGGCCCCTGATCATGGCTTTCCTATTTATTTTTAGCACAGAGGATCTCAGCAGCCAGATTTGGTAAATCAGCAGACTGTTTAAAAGAGCTTTCTTTAGTCTTAGTCCAGAATGCATTTGGGGGCCCCTAAGAGTTATTTTTATCCCTGGATTAAAAACTCTTCGGAGTGGGCAAGATCAAGCAAGATGATGGCCCTAAGCCAATTACATACTGAACCTATAGCTGTGTTCGGGCACGACTTTCCCCTCTGTTTATAGGAAAATAGGACAGTGTCCAAACAAGCTTTCAGATAAAAAGATCTTTCATGTCACACTCAAATGCAAGGCTTGGTTGTTAGTTCATGACTTGTAGGATTTATACAGATCATGCCTATATCTCTAAATTCTTTATTCAGTGGTAATTATTACTGAATAAATCATTGCATATGTTAGCACAGTGCCTTGCCTCTATGAACTTTCCCAAAAAGTAACTATTATTAAATATAAACATTCACACAAAGAGATGACTTTTTCCTTATCCACGGAAAGCTCACATATTGAGCGCTAT